GAAGTGATAGTAGAAGGACATTTAAACCTAAAACAGAAATTAATTCATTTTGTGTCCAGATGTGTGAAGATTTAATTTGAAGTCATAATGTACATACCTAAAAACTGTCTGGTGACCCCCTGACAACCCATGTTGCCCACTCCTCAGTAAGGAAAAATCGCTATTGGCTGTCCTAAAAGTCGCTAAATGACATCATCGCTTAATTTGCATAATTGGTCATGCTTGTAACCTAGCTATAGGAGAGAAAAATAACATCGTAAAAAAGGAAAAAAACACTCTAAATGCATTTAGAATGTACATATTAAATTCTTTAAGCAATTATTGTTAAAAGCGAGAAAGTAGTTTGGACGCATAGGTGTGAACATCTGCTCTGACAGCAGCTGCTTGCCACGGCTGGGGGCGACTGCTGCGTGAGGACTATCTGCCACCTGTGAGCGCTTTGACATGGGCGAGGTGCCCATGGCAGCACCCGCTGCTTGTTGAGTGTAAGAGCGATCCGTGCTTTCACGTCAAAAAGTCATCATAAACTTCCATTAACACCAGAAAAAGTCACCAGATTTGTCGCTAGTCGCTTTTTAGAAAAACAGTCGCTAAGGGGGTCTGAAAACTCAAAGTCGCTAAGTTGGCAACACTGCTGACAACCACTGGTTAGCGGTTGCTGGAGGTTGCAAAAAGCTATACAGTGTTTCACTGAAATCGTCCTTGCAGTTGCTTTGTCGTTAGCAAATTGCTGCAGTTGCCTGTAGTTTGCATGGAATAAGTGAATATAGTTGCAGACTGGTCTGCAAACATTTGGCAACTACTCGTGGTAATGAAACTGAGAAAAGTGCGATCCAAACTGGAGACGGAAAATGTTGAGTAAAAACTTTTCCGTCTTTTGAAACGTGTTGGTTTCAGCTGTAAATGTGAACATTCTCTGTTTCTGTGATGTCACTACTCGTGACACTATTGCTGGTTAGCAAATATTTGCAGACATGTTACAATCTTCAATGCAAACTACAATGGTTATCTGCTACCAACCACAGCAGTCACAGGACAGTTCTCGGTGCCTGACCCTCTTTGCGACAGACTACACACTCGATTATTGATTGTTTGTTTCTTTATTTGTCTTTGTTAGCTTCATTTTGTTATTTTTGTTTGTATTTTGTTTACATGACTGCGGGTCTGTGGTTGTTTCACATGGGGGAAAAACGATGGAGTGTTTCTCAACTAGCTGGGGGTATAAAAGCTGTTCTTCTCACCCTACAGTACTGTATGTTTCTCTGTCTGTCCTCACACAGCTGGGCCCACACTGCTCTGGATGGATGAGGGGGTTGAGGGGCTGAGAGCGAGATGGGGTGGGGGGGTTGAGTTACATTCCTTCCATCGGGGCTGTGCGTCTGCCAACCAGGTCACTCCCAGTTCAGTCCCGGGAAATTGGGAGGGAAGAATTTCCTCTGTGCTGTCCATGCTGGACACGAGCACAGCCGCACAGAGGCCTGTATGCACTGGGGGCACGTGTGTGTGCATGCATGTGTAATGTTTGAAACTGAGCACCCGGTATAATATAACTTGCATGTTATTTTCTTACCACGCAGGACACATGCACACATATGTGGTGTGTAAGTGCGGACATGTTTGGAAAGTATCAGATTGTGTAGGCACGTGTGTACTCTCCTTCAACTATAGCGCCATATTTTTCACAATAAGTTCTGCGTTGATCGGCTTGATGACCTCCCACAACCTCCGTTTTGACACAAGCTCAAACAAGTTGTTGTATATTTATTGTTTTTTCCTACTAGGAATCCCTGCATCTCACCTCCTGTTCCCCACTTTCACACGATGCACAACAACACACAGATGAGAGATACTCCCAACAGATTCCAAGTCGTCTGGCACAAGCTGCAGCCCAATAATAGAAAGATGGAAAGATAAACGTACGGGAACAGAAAAGGGGATGAAGTTTATTCTTTGCTTGCTATTGGTTTGTGCTGCGTTAAGCCCGTGTTGTAACAGGGACAGCGGTGTTCAATATTGCATTTGCTGTGACATGAAAAAGGCATGAATCACGTTAACGTGCGCAAACAAAAAGCGACATGTTTGCAGATAAAACGCTACGCACTGGCCTCCAAAGTGTTCACAAGCCATTTCACACACATGCTCCCAGTTACACATCATCTGCAATTTGTCAAGACTGTCACCTTCTAGTGAATCATCCTCGCCTATTATTCCAATCCACTGCTTTTGTGGACTTTTCAGGATGTCTGCAGTTTGGGTTTGAACTTAAGCTCAAGAATAATGAAGCTTTTTAAAAAAAAATTTTTAGCCCACCATCACAGTTTGAGACTGTATATAAAGGACGGACCTGAAAAGTAAAGCCAGGCTAGACAGGCCTTAAACCTGCATTCTTTTAATGGTCAGCAGGGGGCGACTTTTCTATAAATCTGTGCCGTAGTTATTACTTGATGTATGATCTCAGTAAATATTTTGCAAATAGTGTTATGGTCTCAATTGCCAGATTTCCAAACACAAAATGTCATTTGTGTGGTAAATTCTGCACTCATAGGAAAATGGCCAGTAAAGCAGCGAGTGACTGAAGCCGTTAATGCTGAGTGACGTTGTGTCTCTGACGTGTTTCTCAGTCAGAGCCAAAGTCCACTCATTCAGTATTCTGCTTTGCTAAAACAGACTCCAAAGAATTGCCGTTTCAGTTTTTGTTGGGTTTTCTAAGCCTGTTTTTCAGACGACAAAACAGAAATACCAGATTGAATTAGAGAGGAAACCTTGACACCCTTGGAGTGCTCAGAGTAGAAAAGTGCTATGTAAGTATCACTTACAGTTATTTCAGCTGCTGCCTGCAGAGTGCCCGGATAAACTCACTAGCTGTTTAACACTAAACATAAAGTAACAGATCCCAGAGGATGACAGTCAATATTAGACAACAACAAAATATCCAAGTGAACTGTACACAGAGAGAATATGTTGTGTCTGGAGCTTGTTCATTAAACCCCAGGTTACCACAAATGAAATTAACAATCAGCCAATGTTACATTAAAGCAAGGTAAGCTATTTAATAAAACAGTTAGTGGAAGATCAGCACAAAGCTGCACAAGAAATACATTTTTTTCACAGGCAGTTCTTCTGAAGGAACTTTAGTGTCATCATCTGATTCTTTAAAGCAGTGCTTGTGTTCATGTAAGTGGTCGGTATTATCATCGTTCACGTAAAACCTGCGTTAGCTGTTTCACATTTTTGGCCTCAGGATAAACAAGCCGTGAGCACAAAATTAACAGCTTTAACTGGATATGTGGAACCTGTCAGCAGAAGCTGGCTTATTTCCACATCCAGCCTTTGGTTCCACTTCTGGTTAAAAGTTATTTTTAGTGGCTTAAATGAAGTTTGCGAAGCTCCGCATCTGGGACGAAGAAGAAGACGTATGATAACTTCCCCCTTTCTCTGAAATATGGCTTGGAGTTTGTGATATGGATGCTCTGTGCATTAAACCTCCCAGGAGTTTATTTTTCTCCATTGTCTTTAAACAAAAAAAGAAAAGAAGAAGATGGATTTTAAGAATGTTTTCCACATTTCAAGGAATTATATTTATTAAGAAGATAAAAGGAAGTGCAACTGCAAGTAAAACACACAGACAGGCTCGGGGGGGTTTCTGGAGGGTTTGTGGCTGGGTTGTCTGGAACAGGAAACGTGAGCTCTGAAGAGGCTTGGCACATGTGCATGCACAAATACACACACACACACATAATGCAGGCAGGATGGAAGCTCTTCCTGGACACACAGGATTTGGCCCTGGCAGACGGCATGTCACAAGGAATCAAATTATATGTTAATACGCTGAGAACCCAGAACAAGGCGAGGGACTTTCTCAAGGAAAAGTTGGTTCAGACGATCATGCAGGCCTTGCTTATACAGTGAGCCATTCAATCACTCTACGTTGTCTGTTAGACTTTCCTGGCAGGGATCCTGGTCCCAGGCAGGACTACGATCTGCTGTATCACACACATGTAGAGTCCAGCATTTGAACTTTTGATTTATTGGTTCTTGGGAATTGCACGTATGGCTCAGGCCAAATGGCATCTTATAATATTACACAAGGAGAGGGCCTGCTTAGAATGTACTCCTAATGTAAACGTGTAGTCTAATAGGGCCTCTTGCATAAGCTACTTAACACGTACAGCCAGTGGATATGTATATACGGAGCACATGTACAAACAAATAGCATTGTTCAACAAATATAGCGCGTGATGAATGGCCGTCTCGCGCTGATAAAAAGCCAGCTGCTGCTCTCCAACTATGTGAGCTGTCTTCTTGCTGCCCTGTCATGACTCAGTGCTGAGTGGGACATTAGTGGGTCTCTTCCTGGTATCAGGGCCATTCCTCTACACTGGGCCTGGACTCAGTTTAGCATCATGGGAATTTCTGAGAGCAGCTGAGGGTCCCGGGAGGTTACGCTGGAGTTCAGCTGAGTTAATCCAGCTGACGGGGTGCTCTTTCAGTCGGGAGACAGTGAACCGAAGGCTGGAGGTGACCACGGAGGGGTTGGGTTTATGGAGGATCCCCAGTCCCCCACCCCCCTACAGGCACCACATAAATCCATATGAAAAAATGCTTATAATTCATGTTCAATCTTTGCCTCAACCTGACAGAACAGTGCCACCTGGTGGTCACATAGAGCAAAGAATATCCTCTTTAGCCCACATGTTCAAGTTTTTATTCCACATGTTCAACTTTCACTCAGTATATTTATTTCATATAGCTTTAACATTTTTTTTTACATATACACATTTCTATATTTTCAGCTTTTATTAGATTTTTTTTGCATATATTCAAGTTTTTATTCCACATGTTCATCTTTCATTCAACATATTTGAAGTTTGGATTTTACATTACTTCCCAGATTTGGATGTATATATTCATCTTTCACATATTTTCAGTTTTCTTCCCATAAGGGGAAGAAAACTGAAAATTTTTGTAATTTTTGTATATATACAGGGTTTTTTGTATATATTGATATTTCATTCCAAATATTAAACTTTCATTCTGTATATTAAAGGTTTTTAATTTTATATGTTCAACTTTTTTGCTAAAGACCTAATGTCTTGTCATGTAGTCAAGTTGTTATTCTAAATACTCAACTTTCATCCCATATATTCATGTTCTTTTGCATATGTTGACAATTTTATCCATATATTCAAGTTTTTATTTTATATCCTCTCTACATATGATACATTTCTTGCCGCTTTCTACTGAAATGTGCATTCTTTACGTTCAACTTTCTTTGCATATATTCAAGTCTTTGCAATGGTGCACTGCAAAACTGTAGATGAGCATGAAGCTACTAGAACACAACCGTTGGTTTCTGTGCTGGACCAGCAGAAACATACGGTGCCTTTCACTCAACCGGCCCACCAACACAGGTGAAGGTAAAACAGATGGGTGGGACATGTGACTTTAAGTTTAGCTGCGTCTGTGTGAGGGGGGATCAGAAGTGAAGTGATGGCCCAGGTGAAGGTAGCGGGAGAGAGTGTGAGGATCCACCAGGACAGCACGGATCTTTACTCCGACATGACTACAGTCAGCTCCAGTGCAGGTGAGTCAAACAACATCCTAATGACCCCGTTCTTGTGTTCTTCCACAGCATCTACATTAAATTAGTTCTAATTTTATTGACACACGAGTTGCACATTGTATATTGTCAGCTTTGTTATAAAGAGTTAGCAAAACCACTTTATGTAAAGAAGTGGTGTTATGTTAATTCCCTTTATTATACTGTCATCCTGCTGATTTGGTTTACTTTGCAACCTTTGGATTACCTTCTTAGCTTTTAAGGCAGTATTTTCTATGTTTACCAGTGATAGATTATTTAATCAGCTGCGATGCTTTGTTGGTCTCGTACTCTTTAATAAACAGAGTATAGTAGTGTTGGAAAGTGATGAACACACGATATAAAAGTTTAAAGCTTTAGAAAAATAAACTGTTATATAAAACCTCCCTACTTTCAGCTTCTCTGATTTTCACAGCGGGGCAGCTCCGCATGTTTGATTTGGCAGATTTTTTCCCCCCGCTGGTTGCCCTTCCTGACACAATCCCCCCCCCCCCCCCGCAAGTTACCAAGTTTGCTCATGTAATCATAATAATTGCCTCTGCCATTCGACATCCAGCTGTTTTATAATGTCATCTGATACCAGCAGACCAAGTCGACTCATTTTAAGGAGATGAGTCCCTTTGCTGGTGATTGTGGTAATAATCTTGGACAAATCCTCCAGTTTCTGGTGTCTGTTTCTCACGAGCTTGTGTTTGCCAGCTAAAGCTCTCTGGCTCTCAGGTTGCCTGATGCCAGTGGGAACCAGAAAGTCGGGTAATCCCTCCTTTTTTTGAGACAGTCATTGGTGAATTGCTGCTTTTTCAGTTAAGGCCGCATTTCTTGTGTCATGTTGAGGAAGTGAAGAAATAAGACCTGGGAAATTTTTCCCTAAAAAAAAAAAAGGATCCACGCAACCCCTTCCCCTTTTCTTTTCTCGCCCCTGAAAACAGATATAGGAGAGTCGGTGAGGAAGGGGACATTGTGCGAGACCTCCGTGGCTGTAGGATTCAATAGACGGAGCAGAGCATACCCCTCCCCAGCCAGAAGACGCCACCGCACCACCTTCAGCCACAAACAGCTGGAGCAGCTGGAAGTGGCGTTTGGACAAAATCAGTATCCTGACATCTACTACAGAGAGGAGCTGGCTCGAATCACTAAACTCAATGAGGCTCGCATACAGGTGGGATGGTCTTCATGTTAGAGCTCTCTGACAACTGTGGCTTTTTAGGAGTTGGGGTGTGCAACTCTAAAAAAAAGAAACAGGGCGTGGTGTTTTAGGCACAAATGCTCAAAACTGCTAATAAAACAGTTCAACAAAAGAGCTGGTCTACATCTGCAAGCCACTTTGCAACCCACCTCTACTTCAGCTCTTTTTGTTCATTCTGTATCTCACTAAATCAGTAACAAATCACTGATACCTTTTGCTTTGGGAGGACCTGGGACAGTTACAAATATAAGGGACCCTGACCTCTGTGGCGTATCATTGTTGGATGAATGCCTCAGATTTTTGTCCCAAAGTTGTGTTGCAGGAATGCTGCGTGCAACAGTCTGATCAATGATCCTGATTTGGTTCAGTCTAATTCAGTGGTGGCCCTATTTGTTGCTGAACCCACCATGCTTTGTATGTAAAAGCCTCGACTAACCCATCCTTGTCTCAGCAGGTGTGGTTTCAGAACAGGAGAGCCAAACAGCGTAAGCAGGAGAGGGCCTCGCAGAAGGTTCTCCCAGTGGGAGTGATGCCAGGCCACAGGGCGCTTCTGGGAGGCGTGCACATCCAGCCGTCCGGCATGTCTCGGCAGTACTACCCCCAGCCCCTGCCCCACATCCCTCGCCTCTCTTCCATGTTGCCCTCAGGGGCATACACCCGCCACCCGGGGCCAGGTAGCCAGTGCCCATGTCCCGGCGCTTCCACTCAGCCAACCTCCCAGCGGCAGCATGATGACTGGTACGGCTCGCTGAGGAGCAACCTCACCTCGCCCATGTTCTCGCTCACCTCCATGCCGCCTCTGGATCCCACCTCTCACTGGAGCTAAGAAGCACCAGATGTTTCCACACAGAATACTAAGAAGCCTCTTTTTCATCTTCACAGTTACACACATCCTGTTTGCTCTCTCACTGCTGAATTTTCCAGCTAGTCTGTAAAATAAAATGTATCTTCTTAGCCACACCCGAGCTTCCCCAGTCCCTTGGCTGGAAACGACTGATGTCTACTGGATTTATAGAAATGCAATAAAAGGTTCTTTGAACATTAAGGATACTTTTTTTTTACTTTGCAAAAAAAGGTTAGCTCAAGGAGCACACACTAGAATTTGTTTTTAATTTTATAAACCTTTCAGCTTCATGCCATGGCTTTCATAGTTCCCTAATACACCTACAGGTAACATTACTACAACCTAAAGTTGGGACGTTAAGTGAACCGTAAATAGAACCAGAATGCAATGATTTTCAAATCCCTGTTTGAATTTGACAAATTCAGGTAATCTGGCTTCTTCCCACAGTTTAAATACACACAGTTAGTGGGGTTAGGTGATTCTAAATTACCCATAGGTGTAAATGGTTGTCTGTTTCTCTGTGTTAGCCTTGTGATAGACTTCTCTCCCTGTGACAGCTGGGATAAGTGGAAGAGGATGGATGGATTTTAAACTATGGTGAATGCAACAATGATGGTGAATGCAACAATGATGGTTCATGAGATTTGCAAATCACTGCATTCTGTTTTTTCCCACCTTTTTGGGAGGTGGGTTTCTACATCATTACATCTAAACAATTTCCATTATTAGCAAACACAGTATGTGTTAGTAGACCACAAACACACACTGGTTTTCATATCTTGGTGCAAACTCCAGTCCTCGAGGGCTGGAGTCCTGCAACTTTTCCATGTGTCCCTGTTGCAACACACATGAATACAATTCATTAGCAAGACTCTATAGAACTTGACTGCATGCTGAGGTGCCAGTTCAGCCATTTGATTCATGTTACAGCAGCTCATGAGTGAATGAACATGGTGCAATAAAAGTACTTTAAGAAGTACATTTTTCCAAACACTTACATTTACCTAATTTTACTTAAGTAGAGTTAGTGGTTGCCACTTCAGCATGCAGTCAAGTTCTATACTCTTGCTAATGACTTACTAAATGTATTCATGTGTGTTGCAACAGGGACACATGGAAAAGTTGCAGGACACCGGCCCTCGAGGACTGGAGTTTGAGACCCCTGTCTTAGTGAGAAAATCTCATTGGCATAATGCTTTCCCTAGCCCAGGGGTGGGCAACTCCAGGCCTCGAGGGCCGGTGTCCTGCAGGTTTTAGATGTGTCCTTGATCCAACACAGCTGATTCAAATGGCTAAATTACCCCCATAACATGTCTTGTAGTTCTCTAGAGGCCTGGTCACAAACTAGTCATTTGATTCAGGTGTGCTGACCCAGGGTGAGATCTAAACCTGCAGGACACCGGCCCTCGAGGCCTGGAGTTGCCCACCCCTGCCCCAGCCGCTTACCCCAACCATCAAAAATGAATGCCTAAACCTAACTTTAACACTAAAACCACATTTTGAGCCTGAAAAATGTTTTCAAACTCATGTGGATGGGCACTTTGTCCCCACAAGTATAGTAGCATGCCAATTTTCTGTCCTCACAAAGATGTCTAAACATGTGTATGTGTAGACACACACACACACACGCACACACACACGCACAAATCCTTAATAGCCTCGCTGCCCCTGCAGCTTTGACATGAAATGTAATATTTATTTAGGATATGAAGACGTGCTTGTTGTCCCCTTAAAGGAGGTGGAGTTCCCGCAGTATGTCTATATAAATAGTTTTATGTCCTGATATAATTATAATTATGTCCTACATAGAAACTGTGGACATACCTTCTGGATCTGATAATTGAAGCCAATGCACAACACTTTCAAGCTGCATTCTTTCTAGTGGTCAGCAGAGGGCGATCCTTCTATCGTATCTTCTTTTTCCAAACGTGACCAACAACAAATAACACAGACAGCGCTACATGAAAAAGGTGTGCAGAATACAGTCCTCTTTTAATATTTCACATTACAGAGACAACACAGTCGCATCTGTTATGCTTTTTAAATATGTGCACTCAGAAAAACCTGAGTTGACCGAAGAGTTAATACTAGATGGCAAAAATATAGAGAAGTCATCAACGTGTGGCAAAAAAATAAAACTACTTCAGAAGAAATCACAGATGAATTGAACAGACCTAACCTGACATATTATACTCACGTCTGTTTTAAAGGCAGCTAAAGTCTGAAGCAAATGTGTTGTGTTCAAGTCCTTTCCTGAAGGCCCGTAAGACAGAGTCCGCTTTAAAAACTAACGGCAGTGTGCGTTTAGTCTAGCTTATCCAGTGATGAAGAATCTGCAACACGCCGCTGCTTTACATTCACTCTGCGAGGACAGGTGTGCGTCGAGCTCCTGCTGACTCTGCGATTATCACGCCGGCTCATTTTTTTTGTCGTTTTAATCGTCACCGAGACGACAGTGGGAAGGTGTCACAACTGAAACACAGACAGTATTTCTGCTACTGTAACCTGCAGCCTCGGGCTTCACATCAAACATACGGACTGTGATCAAGTCAAGGTCACTTTCTGTTGTCATGGGAACCATCCTCACACAAACAGCAAATTAAACAGATTGACAGGAGGAACCATTTGGCCCGCTGTGTTCAGCATGAGTGTGCTTGTGAATGAGTGTGTCCGTCTGAAGCAGAACTACTTCACATAAAGGGGACCCATCATGTCATATAAATACACTTTTACAGTGTTGGATGTTCTTGGCTGTATATTAAAGTAAAGCTCAGGTTTCAGATTAATCCAAACGCTCCACTTACCTTTTTTTATTTTCAGTATGATGTCGATGAGAACAGATATCCTTAATGTGGTTGTGCAGTGGCCAATCAAAGATCAATAAGGCATATTCTGAACTCTGAATAACACAAAGCTACTCTCAAAAGTCCCAGAATAAAAATATAGAACTGGAAATGAGTAGAACAGGTCCCCTTTAATGTGAGGACACTCTATTTACAGACTGTTGTGCTGCCAGAGAGAATCAAAGTGTAGCACCACTAAAAGAAAACACTCTACCCAAGCTTTTGTACATGTCAAGGATCAGTTCACCCAAAATCAAAGGCAGCTTTGCTTAGAATACAGTATTTAGATATAGTGAAGTCCAAGCTTCACTGTGGAAACCAGAAGTTACAGGCGGTTAACCAGGCCTCAGTTAACCACCTGCTTGTTGTACCTTAATCACTTCCTGTTCCTTTGTTTTTTTAATCCACACACTCGGAGTACTGCTCCTTCAGTCGTTCAGGCCTTGTGTGTGAATGAGGCCACCTTAAAACTCCCCAGCTGCACATATGCAGCTCCAAAAAACGGGGGATTCAGATCTGAAAGTATACTGCTAAGGATTAACTAGAAAAATACCAATTTAGGTGAACTGGCCCTTTGAAATGGCATCTACACACACACAATGAAGTGGAAGACTCCACCAGACTGAAACTGAAACAAAGGGCATCCTGTGTTCCACCCTTTTTGTCATTTATCAGATTACTGCTGATTCAGCTTGGAAAAATCATCCGTCAGAAGTTTCACGAACGATCGATACTCCTGACCGATAATCTGTAAGAAAGAAATCAAAGACGGTCCTCTAAAAAGTTGTGCGGCTTCTCAGTTTTGGCTGCAGGTACGCTCACCCTCCAGCCTCTCTGCTGATTCCTCGCTGTCGTCGTGGACGGGAAGCAACAGAAAGACGCTCTACTCCAGCGATTTGGCGAACTCTGCGTAATCTATGTAGCCGTCATTGTTTTTGTCATCGTCCTTCAGAACGTCATCGATGAGAGCAATGAGTTCCTCCTCTTTCATTGGCTGGCTGCTCTCTCCTCGCTCCTAAACAGAGACGAGCAGAGCAGCGAAAACGATTGGACCTTTCTGTGCGCAGGAATTGTGAGGCAAAAAATGTGTCACAACAATATTTTTAATCACAGCGACAGAAATAAGGGAGCAGAAAACGTGTCAGCTAACAAAACTGTTTTCTAATCGCTTTGGTGTCACGTTGCATGAATTCTTTGTTTCCTAAGGGGTGATGGATCCGCATTGTCACCGATTTTGTCCCACACACCCTTCCTGACACCTTCCTGAACATTTAAAAAGTTAGCGGGATAACAAAGATGAGGCTCAAAACCTACCAGCTAATTAAAGCTAGTAACGGGCTTAATGGGAGACAGCGTCAATAAAAGATTCAGAGAAGTCTCGGTGCACAAGGGACAAGGCCAAAAATCTGTACTGATTAGCTGTGACCTTTGTGTGTATTGCAACTTGGTGGCAAGTTGTGCCTTTGGTGAGAAGACCTTATTTGTGCAAGACAATTCCTAACACACTGTGCAAATATTCCAACAGCATGACTCCCATATAAAGAAGTCCTGGAGCTTAAAGACCGCCTGCAGTACTGACCTGTCACCCACTGAAACATCTGGTGCGTTATGAAACAAATTTAAAAAATATTATGATGAGAAGAGACCCTGAACTGCAGACATGCTGATATTCTATATCAAAAAAACAAACAAACACTAGAGCAAAGCTAACATTTACAGAGTGCTGCTAAAAGATAGGTAAACATGCCCCTGTCCCAACTTTCTGAAACACAAAGCATTTAAATGTCTCAGTCCAATCCCACAATAAGAAAGGTATGAGAAAGTGGGAAAGTAACCGTTATGTATCCTTTTAATGCCAACTATGACAAAAAAACGTGCTCACACATGAATTCTCACCTCTCTGTGTACATGTGAGATTGCTGTTGCAAGCTCCAGCCCGTCCAGCAGGTTGTTCCCATCGTAATCGTGCATTTTGAAATAGTGCAGCTGGAGCTCCTGGGGCGTCATGTCTTTCTCTGGTTTGTCTATGACGCCCTCTAAATGCTCCATGATGTGGCTGCCACCAGAGGAACAACAAACAAACACAGCTACTGATTAGACAGAACCCAAAGTTCACCTCGTCCTGAGTCGTGCACGGCCATGTCACTCACTCTTTGTCTTGAACCATGTTTCTATCCAGGCGATGTTGGCTGGCTGCACTTTCTACGATCTGCTGCTGATGGTGGTGGTCTGGGTTCATCTGAGCGTGAGCGCACAGAAAACAGCAGGACAAAAAGAGGAGCATACCCCCCCACTGCACACTACACCTGCTGCTCCTCATTCTGCTGCGGAAAGGCAAAGACTGAGAGTCAGCAAGTTCAGGAACACAGCTCCTGAATATCTATGTTGGACATCACCTTCTTACTACTCAAATGTCCTCAGTTTAGCACCTCACTTACATCCAGCAACACATTTGAATGTCCTTCTTACCGATTAACATGTTTCTCCTGATCAAACTACATTCACACCTGTTTTATAAGTTTGATATCTGGCTCTATAAGACAACAGCAAGGTGCTACAAATAAGCACCATGTGTTTATGGCCCATTTTAACAAAAAACACCACAGACACACACAGTGCATGGACCGCACTAATAGGGATGTTTCTGCAGTAAACTGTGAGATTACACTGCTATGCTAACTCAGTTAAACAGCCACATTAAAAGAGGGATGTATGACCGTTAGCTTGAGAGCCATTATAAGATAAATACAGCAACAAGCTGCATCTCAGGGCTACGCTGAAATAACATAATTTCATGGGTCATGACTTGGTGTAACTGGTAAAGAAATAAAAAGATATATATGTACTTACGTTTAAACAATTTCTATCTTCACCTGTATCCGCGAACAGTTGTGCAGTTGTGCGTAGTTTGCTGCTTTAATGATCAATCCGAGCTTTCTCGGACTGAGCGGCTTTCCGTAGCTTCACTTTGACACGACAGCTCATTGTGATTGGCTGCAGCTATCCGAGAGCGCTCAACTGGGGCAAGATGATTCCCTCCACGTTATTCTGAATTCTTCGTCTTTCTCTGTCCAAAGCTAAAATTAGTTTTATTATTTTGTTTTGGGTTACAGTAAGATTCGTGTATAATTGCTATACATTAATAAGCTCAAACTAAACCTTATAGAATATTCCGTATAGAATAATTTTATATATTTCTAGTGCTTTCCGTTTTCACGAACTAGCGTTTTGATCATTTGACAGAATTTACGAATTTACGCGACAGACATGCTGTTGAATCACCTTTAGCGGTAATAACTTGAAGGTTTTTTGTAAACTTTTAGTTTTTGTATGACTTTACAAGCCTCTCTCATCATCGTGGAGGAATTTTGGCCCCAAAAAGTTGATTCTGTTCATCTGGACGTAGCGTTTTCAGTGGGAGAAACGTTTCGTCACTCATCCAAGTGACTTCTTCAGTCTCAGCTGACTGCAGGTTTCCCCAATCTTATATTTGCACAATGACTAAAACCAGACAACTGAATGAACGAAGAGCTGTGAGGTCAGTTCCAACCTTTTGGGATTTACCTGGATGCATCAACATGCATCAAGAATTTGGTTCATTGGTCTTTGGTTGCATTCGTTTATGCACAGCTCTCTCAAGGTCCCAGCACAGCCTTTCAATTAAGTTTCAATCTGGACTTTGATTCAAACCGTCACCACTGTGCATGACACTATGAGGTGTTTGTGCTCTTATCCTGTGTTTGCTTTTGGCCAAACATCTCCAGTTTAGTCTTGAATCTCTTTAGTTCCTCAGAATCAGTAAGAATGTACCCCCCCCCCCCCCCCCAAAAGACTGTATGTGTCAGTGTTGTCTTCCCTAATAAAACATTACATGATAGATTGATTTAAAAAAAAAAAAAAAACTCAGTAAAGATTTCCTGTCACAGAGGCAGGCATATTTTCTCTAATGTTGGGTGTTTTTCACATCTCAAATATGAATATGCTTAATGACAAGTTTATGGAACCAGTGAATCTTTTGAGGCCAACCTAATTATTCCCATCCCACACAGCATTTGTGATCTCAGCCAATAGCAGCACAGCGTCAATTCCTCTCCTGTTGTGCTATGTGCATGCAGGGGTCACCACGGGAAAAAGATCCACATTGTTTCACTTCCTGACACAACCTTTGCCAGCTAAGGACTGGTGTTGTGTCTAGAAAAAAGTGATTTCCAGTATTTAAACTCTTATAAATGACCAATAACCTGTCAAATAGGGTTATGTCAAGAATCATATAAAGTCATTTTAAACCACAAGCAACTTTTCCTACCAGAAGGTAATAGCAGCAATCCATTTTTGGCAAAGTGAGTTTTATATACTATTGCTTTATCCAGCTAAAAAGACACATCAACACTAAAAATGTATTTTCTAAAGAGGAATATGGCCAAGAGGGCAGCAGAAATTGCAACAAATATAATGTAATAGCTCTCAAGAGATATTTTAAGTGGCCAAAAAGCACTAGATTGAATATAATGTAATTACAATAAGGCTGGATCATAAAGATACCAGCAAAACATGTCATTTCTTTCCTCTCCTTAAATAACTCCTCCGTAAATCCTGTTGACTACAGTCTTTTTTTACCAACATAATAAAATACGTTACCCATAAAAAACACACTCTCTTTTTTGGCACAACACCAGCTGAAGGAGTATACACTAGCTTGTGACCCTCTGATGTTGGCCTTTTCTTTGTCTGTCTCTTCCTTGAATAGAACCAGCAAACTTCACAACAAATTGTGTGACCCACCAAACCATGGAGCCACTCTAGAATTTGGGGTTGGCGAAAATTCCCACCGGGGTTCAGAGAGGCCTGGAGAATCCAATGATATGTCCCAGATATTTACATATGGAAAAGTATTCCTACCATAAAGTTCTAAATATCCATGAACACACACATACACACCTCCACTTAAAGAGCCCCCTTTTTGTATGCTCAAACGAAGCCACGCCCCTGGTGGCGGACCTATCTTATCGGGTCACTTTGAGTTGAGACGTTCTCTACGTCAGCAGGGGGCGCGGCCGCTCAGCTGTGAGGTCTGTCGGCACCGCACGGCACAGGGTGGTGGACACGACAAGAGGGACGAGCGTCGTTTATGTCAAGCAAATGTCAACTTTCCAGAGAGAAAATGAAGCAGCTAAGTCTCTGTTCAGGAGGCTTGAGGTTTTATTTTAATGTCATAAAGTAGCTGATAGATCCTGAGTAGTCAGTGACCCTCGTTTCCTCTGTATGTGCACCCTGTGCTGTGGTTTCTGCTCACTGTGTGATTCCCCCCAACGTCCCCCATTTAGTTGAATTATATTTTACATCACATTCCTGAGCTTGAGCTTGATAAAGCGCAATTACACCTCGCAGCGCAATAGCTGTCAGATGTACTGATCCAGCGTCAGTGAACCAAAGATTTACAATAGATTTTGTTTTTCACTCATTTATTTAAAAAAAACAACCCACAATATTTGTCTGTACTGTATATCCTGCCTCGGCTGGGTTGCCCACTTTGCTGCAGCATTCTTTGCATTGCTGTTTCTTAAGCTCTACCTGATCCAGTTAAAGTGTTGACGGCAAGAGATTAGGGACATGGGGTTTAAGAGGACTTCCTTCCCTTCAAACAGCTACAGATCAAGTCCTCTCCAAATGCCACACTCATTTGAAGTTGAAGGGGGAAAAGCTTTAGACAGAAAAGCAGGAATGTGAATGTTATAATAAACACGAGCAATAGTTCCTGCACAAACAGAGTGTGCGGGTTCTTGGGGCTTCCTACAGATGTGTAATGTAACAGCAATTAAACCCATGTTAACGCCTGCATGTATTTCTCTGGACTTTGCTGCTGTTGACTTTCTGTGCCCGTAATAACCCACACCCCACCCTCCACCAGCCTCCCTCCGCACTCTGTGATTACACATTTATTTCTCCTGGTCCTAGTCTGCAGTTACTCCCATCGTGTCCGGGGAGTACAGTCACCATCGGGACAGAGCGGCGATGGCATCCCGGATTTCTTTCACTCAGGCCCGGCTGGAAGCGGAGCTGGAGCGCTACCGGGCCGAGTGCCAGTGGGACAAGATGCCGGCGATAGTTGAGCAGATGCAGGCTGCGCGGATCCACGAAGACGGTGAGTTGATGGTGGTATGCACCTGGGTTTTTTTTTAAAGTTCAGGTGGCTGTTGTCACTTCCTGGCTGTTTTTTAACTGTTCATTGATCTGTACACTGTAAAAAAAAAAAGAAAAGAAAAAAAAAGTTTTTTTAAGTTTCGGGAAGCTGCTTCCAGGGGAGAAGCGGTAAGAAATTCAGAAAACAATTAAAAGTACTGAGGATTTATAGCAATATCCACCAGCTTTAGTTCTAATGATTTGCACAAAACACTCACTGAGTGTTGATCAAGCATAGACATTTTTTGCAGTGTTTTTTGCACACAGGTTGGACCTTGATCTCTCAACACTGGCTTCTGCTTGTTGAAGTTTTTCTAAGCAAATCTATTCAAGCGTTGATATTACAGCAATAAATGTGATGTGCAGAGAGGGTCACACAGGGCAGTAGGATGGCCTCAATGAAAGTTTACAGTAGACACACTGAAAGGGTATATAAATAATTAAAGGAACTGAGTGGCCTTCTGCGTGCAAGATGAGCAGTATTGCCTGCATGCAAAACAAGATTTTTCCAACAGGTTATTAGCTGCCTGCCTCTGCCCTTGAAATCACTTGACACTGTACACGTGCTCAAAGAAATGCAAACACGCATATTGTTTCTGTTCCTCATAAAGCATTCATTTGGTAGCTCACTAATGCACCTGCCTCCAACCCTCACCTTAGCAGAGTAAATATGGGCTGAGGTCCTGGCTGATAGTGCAGACCAGCAGTTTCTCCTTGCTCGCACACGCGCTCATGTGTTAAATTAATGTGGTATTTCTGTGAGCATGCATGACTCACACTGTAGCTGATCTGTCAGGAACTGTGTGTGGAACGGTTTTTCTTTTTAGATTAGAGATAGAGGAACTTTGTTTCAAGTAAAGCAATAAGCTGTTAAACTTCCAACCAACTGTAAAACTGTAAAAAAGCAGTAATAGGTGGTGTACTCTGCTTTCAAGTTTCAAATGTTTTTCTTTGGGGAGTTTGCTGTAGGTGATGTTGTGAGGAAGATGTAACAGTCTGATTTTATCTCACTCAAACAGAAAGGACAGATGGGGGTAATGCGCTACTTAAAAACAGCAGATCTTTTAGGATAGCTACTTGGATAAGGTGTGTAAGGCAGACGAAGATTTGGAGCTTTTAGTAAAATACGGGAAGTACAGTATATTCTACTGTGTAGTAAATGTATTTATTTATTCATTTTTATTTGTGAATTTAAAAAACATTATGTGACCATTCATTTTATTCCCCACAGGTATCGTACGTATCCTTAAAGCTACTTTTTGTAAAAACCCTTTATAAATGTAATAAAAGCTTTCACCACAAGGTGTCTCCATTTTACCAGAAAGTTGTAGTGTAGCATTATATTCATCTGTGTACATCTGAAATTATTTCATATTAGAGCATTGAAATGTTGCTTCTAACTAATCTAATGTTTCAATCTCAATTTAAAAATGTCAATTTCTTCCTTAATCAAAAAAAAATCTGTGTTCTTCAGCTACTAAAACAGACCTCATAGTAACACAGTGTCTGGTTTTGTTAATTCACAGCAAAATCTCCAGTGTTAAATTAACACTAGAGAGTGTCTAAATGGGTCCACACCTCTGAGTGTTAAATACAACACTGTTGAGTGTTAAATTAACACTTTTGACAGTGTTATATGTTTTAAAGTAACCTAGTCAGTTTTGAAGATTAACAATGG